TGCGCGATCGGCGGAAGCCCTACAAGTTGGAGAAACAGAGATCTCGCTTTGCACAAAGCCCAGCGTGACACTCGATTTCTCCGCCATCCCTTAGTATATATCTGAAAACTTTGGTCCTTTTGAGTAAGTAAAGAGGAGATGATACTTTCTAAGCAAAGTATTCGGCCGGCATAACACTCAGAGAGAGCGGTGCCTCTGTATCAATCACACACTTCAGACCAAAGACAGTTACGTAAAGTAAGTAGTCGCGGTTTGAGGTTTAATTTAGGAGGTGCCAGAAGCGCAGAATAAAAATAAAGCACACCTCGGGAGCTCCAGCTGCAGCCCTGCTCGCAAGGGCAGAGCGGCCGCAGGCAGCAGAACGGGGCCAAAAGACTGCTCCGCCACAAGGGCTGAAACCCCGTCCCTGTTACGGTTTAGAACAGTTTCCCCGCTAATCCAGAGAGCACACGCAGCGACATGGATTAGACAAATATAAACCCGAGCCTGGCCAGCACAGCACCCAGCCTTACGGGTGGGTTTACAGGGAGCGTCGGAAGGGGTTCCACAAACAAGGGGTGACAGGGAAGGGACAGAGGGAAGCAGCGTCTTTCTCTTCCCCAAAGTCAGGGTCTGTCCCGATGCGGGTCCATGCTTGCAGGGATTCCCTTGCAAAGAGCGCCAGCTCCATTCTTACCGTATCTCGGCCGTTCATCTGTCCCCCTTTGGCCAGGCGGGACTCGGTCTTGGATCGCCTCTCCATCTCCTCCATGATTCCTTGGATGTGGCCTCCGGAGATCCCGTGGAAAAGCATGGCTGGGGGACGGAAAGGACAAGTATTTTCTTCTGCTCTGCACCCCACTATTTCCATATACAGACCCCAGAGTCTTTAGATCATCCAAAATGTTTACACCGAGGCGCACAGCGCAGGGAGGGAAGTTGCAAATAGGAGCTTCTCTTTGCGCAAGCACTGAGGGCTTCCTGAAGATGTGCAGAAAACAAACAAGGGGGAGAAAATGTAATAATAATTAGTTTAAAAAATAAAATAATAAAAGCTAGCTAAAGGATCTGTTACTGTTCTGGAGAGCTGGGGGCTTCTGACTGGAGAGACTTGGACTTGGGGCAGTAGAATCAGTCGGGAAAGGATATAGTTTTGAATACAAAGAAAGCAAAAAGAAGTGCTATTTTCAGCAGTCCCTGGTTGCTTTAAAGTTCCCAGTGCCTGTAGGTTGGATTTGGGACTGCTGCTTTCCGGAGCTCTGTCCAATTTGTTAAGAGACTAAAGCCAGCCCATTTTTGATAATTTAGTAGGAGGAGTTCTCTCCCTTGAGCTGCCACTGATTTTTATTCAGACAACAAAGACCTGTCATACTCCTCTCAACCCCTAGTGATGGGCAAGCAGTGACAAACATTACGGTCGGGGCTGTGGGTGGGGTGGGATTTATTACCTCCCCCAAACACAGAGTCCCGGGAGTTGGCGGCGACGGCGCCTGGCGAGGGGCAGGGTGGCCCGCTCTGCCCCCGGGGCCCCGCTCCCCCCGGGCCGCGCCGCGGGAGCCTCCGCTCGTACCGGCCCCGCCGTGCCGGCCCCGCCGCGGCAGCGGGAGAAGGAAGAGGAGCGCCGGTGCCGGGCAGCCGAGGCGGGACGGAGCGGCCGGAGCGCTGCGGCGGGCCCCGGGCACTCAGGGGTGCTGAGGCTGGGGATAGCCGCGGAGGCAGCGCCGGCCCGGCCGGTTCCAGCGCTTTCCCGGGGCGCTGCCCGCCCCGCTGCCCCGCGGTGCCCCCGCCCGTCCTCGCAGCAGGATGCGGCCTCTCCGCGGGCACTCCGCGGGCCAGTCCCGGCCGGCCGGGGACTCCCTGGTGGGACTCTCTCCCCTCTCCCTCTCCCCGGCCGCGGATTGCGAGCGATCATTGTGTGCAGGGCACCGGGCGATGCATTCCTTCCAGGCTAATCTCTCTGTCTGCTCTCCCTCCCCTCCGTTCCCCGTTTTCCTACTTACTTTTCACACCACTCTTCCTTGCCTTTCCCTGAAACAGCTGCTGGCTGTTTCCTGACACCTCGATCCCTACTGAAGGATCTTCCTGGCGGCAGTCCTGCGCTCCCTGCTCCCTGGGGAACACTCCACACCAAACCCTAGCGCGACTAGTGAAAGAAGTACCCCAGCCCCCACTTCCTTTCCAAAGCATCCCAGAGCCATCCTCAGGGGCTCCTCGAGTCACCTCTTCCATGTAACCCAAGATTCAAGCAGCAAGTTTCCTCCCCTCTCTTTCCCCTAAGTAGCTAAAATTAATGTTATTTGCAGATTGAATGTTGTTACATTCCTCCGAGTGCCAGAATACAGCTCATAAAACACAATTTCACACAAAGATGAAGTCAATCAAGTGAAATAAGCCGGGATTTTTTTTCTCTGTTGGCACACTAGACCCTGGACAGCAGGGCTGCTATTTACTGTAAGTAATGTAATTAGCCCTTTTGGATGGAAATCAATGTGTTGTATATATGTGTGTGTTTTAATAAGAGAGTAATAGCTATAAAACCAACGAGTCTCAAAAAGGGCTGAGGGAATCTCCTTTAAAAAGGGCAGATCCCTCCAGAAGCCGTAGTCTTCTGCAGAGCACTCCCGGACTGGAAGAAAATAAATATCTGTGTGTGGGGAAGGAGGAGGAAAAGATAGGCTTTCCTTGGAGAAAACAAGTCAATTAGCACAATAAGACATCAGGAAAAATAAACAAGGTGATTCAATCCGGGATGCGGGAGCTATTCGCTCGGGATCCCCAATCCTCCTCCACCTCCTCCTGCCCGTCGCCGCTCCGGGACGCCCCGGCTGCTCGGGCAGACGGGCGGAGGTGCTTCTCTCTCGCCCGCAGCCCCGCCGGGAACGGGAGCGCGCCCGCCTCCCCCGCGGGGCTGCGGGGCCCAGGCCTGCACTGATGCGGGGCCGGCGGCTTTGTGGAGCGGCCCGGGAGGAGGGAAGGGAAGCGAAGCGAAGGGAAGGGAAGGGAGGGGCGGCGGCGCTGCGGGCGGGGGCAAACCCCAGGGCGGGAGGGTTCGCCCGGTTCGTCCTGCGCCCGGCAGGTACCGCCGGTGTGCGCCCGCCTGGCTCGGAGAATCGCAGCGGTGGCTGTCGACAGAGGTCAAAAAATATCCCTTAGAGACGAGTTTGTTTCTAATCGTTGCATATAGTCTTTGCACTCTACAAGCAGGTTCAGGGTTTGTTCTGGGTGTTTTCCCCTCCGAAGGAAATTTTTCTTTATCCTCCTCCATTTATGTTGTCGGGGTAACTCACCCTGACCCTGTTTTCACGTTGCATGTGCTCTCCTGGAAATGGCCTGCGTTTCCCGTGGCGTTCGGGTTGCTAAAGGCACCCCGGCATGTGCCAGGCAGGAGCCTCGCCGACCCCCACCCGCCGGGCCGGCCCCGCGGAGCCCTCTCGGAAGCGCCGCCGCCGTCCCGCTGTGACCGCCCCGGCCGGGCTGAGCAGCGTCAAACTCATCGTGCCCGCCGGGAGCGGGGAGGGGTCTGGGGCAAGCCCCCGGCTGCCGCCGGGCCCAGTTCCATCGGAAGCTAAAGTGGGGATCCTGTGCCCCCCGAGCAGATTGTGCCCTCGCCTCGGGTGCCTCGGGTGCGGGCACCGCTGCCCTCTCCCTCATTTATCTCGCGTTTGCTGTCTCGGGTTCACCGAAACGCTCTGCAGGTGCGGCGTCAAAGCATCCAAGGCAGAGACACGGAAAATATTGCTTGCTAAATTCCCGTCTCTACCTTAGCTCGACGGCGCCGTTAGGAGTAATTGGGCAGACTCATAACAAAACTCAGAAATGACTGAGCCTCCTCCGGTTAGACACACTTAATTAATTAGAGGGTCCTTTCTTTCTGCTCCATCAGGTACGGTTAAGGATACGCTACTAGCTACTGCTGCTCCAGTAAGGGAGGCCAGGGGTTTCCAAGGCGCTTTCTGATTAACATCCTAATGCTGGCAGACCACTTCTTACCTAAAGGGACACAAAAAGTTTGTTGCTAGCATCAAACGTGACTTCTCCATTTCCAAAAGGCCTGTAGGAGATCAAGGTAAATCTATTTCAATGTTCCTGAGATCTCATTCCTCGCTGTGAACTGGAGCTCCGCTGCTCTAAGGCAGGCTGGTAGCGAGAGCTTGCCATTATAGCACGAGGGATTCCGTACAGTTTTGCTGGTTTGCTTGGGGGGTGGGGGAGAGAAAAGCTCACAAAGAACACGACAGGAAACCTAAAATCCAAATCTACGAGCCTGTCCCTCATGAATCCATAGGCATTAGCACTTTGCCTGTGAACGACAGTTTCTCATCGCAGGGCGCTTTTATCTCCTTTTGCCGTAGCATTTGAGAAAGAATATCTGATGTGCACTATTCAGAATATTTTAGTAACGTGACAGGCGCTCTCGGTTTTTTCCGTTCTGTAAGGCTCTACCCGAACTCCCCAAGCTAATGGGGGGCTGATGGGGAGGATGAGGGAGGTTTCCACAGGTAGAGCGTTTTCCTGCCCACGCAGGGCTGGAGAGCTCCCGCGGCCATCCCGCTGGCCCGGCTGCCCGCAGCTCCGCGGGCGCTGCCCGGAGCCCCTTCCACCTTGGCAATTAGCGTGTGCCCTGGGAAGATTTCAGCCTGCGGTCCCTGCGATCCGCTCTGCCAGCGAGCCCGCCTTCTCCCTGGCCACGGGCTACGGGCTAAAGCCTATCACAGCGTGAACGATCTTGTGTTTAGTTCGGAGGATTTAGGACAAGGTCTATATGCAAATTAATAATTGACCAACAATAATTAGGAGAAAGGGGAGGGTGTTCAGGCGGGGGGTGGGGGTGGGGAGGAGGAGGTGTTCTTTGAGGAGAAGGGGTTTGGATTTCGCCTGCCGCATTTGAGGCCGTGGCGTGTCCGGCTGCGGGCGCAGGGCACTGCCCGAGGCAGCCGCCTCCCGCCCCGCAGGGCACCAAAGCTTCACACCCTCTCCGTCAGCACCTGAACTTTTCAAGACGCTTCCAGTTTAATCATTTCCAGAAATTTAACGCGCGTAGTAATAACAGCAACAGGATTACGATCCTGTTGCCTGCGAGTCGGGTGGTTAAAGCCAGGTCTATTTTTAAATCCTAACGCTATTTTCTGCTCTACGAGCTTGTGGTGGAGTGCAGTGCTATTAATGATCAGTTTCATCTCTTTGTAAAGTCCGCGTGCACTGCAACCAATCTAGACACAAAGAATGAAAATTTGAATAGAATTACATCTCTTGGTGGTGCCACCAAATGTAGCTAATACCGTTTTCAGTATTCAAATAGGTTGCTGTTTATTTAATCTCAATTTAAAATATTATTTTCTCTTTTTAAAGACATGACTTAAAATTCCACTTCGGAGTCACATACAACGTATTTTATTTTACCATCACCATCTTTCTCCTCCCTTGAGTCCTCTCGAGTGTTCCGTAAAGCAACTTTCGGATCGCTGTGCTAGGGACATGTTAAAGCCGGTGCATGGCTGCCAGACTCGGGCACCAGCCCCTCTCCTCCCTGCCAGGCTGTGCGGGGCTGGCCGTGCGAGGGACACAAGCGCAGGGTGTCTTTAACTGTAACCGGCATCGGATTAAAACTCCCCAAACCTCCAATGTGCTTGTAGCTCCCGGAAATCTGAAAACATGTCAATTAAGACACGTATTCTTCTGCTTAGGGAGATGATATTTAAATAAGAAACAACTAGGTGCTTTACATAGTAATCCCAAATATCTTCCATAGCCAAGCGCTGTGACCACAAACAAGTGATCACACAGCCCGAAGAAAGCAGGAGAGGCAGATTATTGTCTAACATGAAACTGTTCACCACCCAGGACCTCAGCACTGTCAGCTCCATAGTTGTCTGGTATTAGCTGTAATCGTATTTGCACTCCGCTTCTAATTAAGCCATTGGAAATGATCATATTTTACTGCTTTTGAAAAGGAATCCCTTACAGACTGGATTACAGACAGGTGAAAGAAGTAATTCCATTAAAAAGAAAAAAAATAAAAGAAGCACAAAAGAAGGGACATTTTTTTTTAATTGAGCTGAAAGGCTCAGGCTTCTCAAGCTGAGCTATTTTTCTGTTAAAACGTAGATGCATGAAAGGTTATCTGCGAATACACCTGGGGAAAGTACCGTTTGTGTTGTAAAAAAAAATCCCAACCAAACAACACCACGACGCCGAAGAAACACCCTGCAAATTACATCCGTGAGGTCCAAATAGCTGCATTGCTAGCAAAGACTCATGCAGGAGCTTACCTTGAGACCTTAGAAGCTTCTTCCAAAATTGTACCCTCCTTAATGAGTGATGAGGGATGGGTTTTGAATGGAGAAGAGACGCAATGATCTAGCCAGTAGATGGAGGTTGTTCCTTGCTCCTAGCAGAGGATCCCTATGTTAATTAAAATAAACAAGCTGCTTGGTGGAAAGATTTTTTTTTTTTTTCTCCCGTCTCTCCCTCTCTCTTCCCGCCCTCTGCATAGCCTCTGATACACAGCTGACGTGAATTTCTAACCTCTGACCTTTCGCCAATATGCACTGATACCTGCCTTTTATTTTCTGTTTGTTTCTAAATATTTCCGAAAACAAAATAAATAAATAAGGAAGAAGGCTGAATGAAAGCAAAAAAATTAAATCCCACCTCTCGATTTTGGCTGGTTTGCTGGATTTTCTTGATTAGCTGTCTCAGCTCCTCAGTAATCAGGTGAGGTGTTAATGGGGAGCTGGTTGTAAATAAAACTAATAAAGCAAAGAACATATTAGGAAATTAAAAAAAGGCGAGGACTGAGAGGCTGTTAAAAATATTGTAGCGAGCTGAGCGTTTCCCCATCACGTCGTTTTTTTCGTTCTGTGCTTATTCACAGCTGAGCAGCAAACCCCGGGTTGTTGCCATCTCTCCACATTTTTTTTTCCAAACCGCATTGAACCAACCATGGACTGCATCAACCCTTCCCACTTTCATAAAAAGCCTCTCAAATGGAGTCGCTAAACAGCAAACTTCAGCCTGATCTGATGTGATATGATATACGGATTCATGGAGCGACCTCGCTTTGCCAAACCCGATGAAACTGTGAGTTGTCATGCAATACTACGCAGTCAAACCTGGGATAATTGTAAAAGTGAACCCAATTTAACCCATTAGAATAAAATCAGATGCCAAGATGAATCGGAATCATTGCTTCTTGGGTGACAGTACTGATGACAATTGATCCACCGGCTCAAAACAATAGAAGAATATAGGGTCGGGAGTCATTTCTCGCACTTCCTCCCAGGGGGAAGCGGGGACCGTCGGGGAGGCAGGAGCCGCTCCCGGCCGGACTGCGGCCGCGCCTCCCGCCGGCCCCGCGGAGCGGCTCTGGCAGGAAGGAGCTCCCTGCGAGGACCCTGTGGCCGGGGAGCTGTTTGTGCAGCAGCCGCACGAGATGACTTCTCGCTTTGGCTTTGTTTGCCCGTTCCTCTTAACTCCTGCGACAGTTTCTGTCCTTCTTCCCTGAGCCATGTGACCCTCAGGTCTACGTGGCCAGCTTGGTAATCTATCTGGAAAAAAAAAAAAAAAAAAAAAAAAAAAAAAAGGCAGGGGATGCTAATGATCTTCCTTGGAGTTTGTCGGCGGAGCCCCGGCGGCGAGCGGAGGAAGCAGGGCGGACTCAGCTTCCCGCCGGGGTGCGCACCGGCGGGCGGGGGTGCGGCCGTGCCCTCCGGGCAGAGCAGCGGTCCCGGTCCGCTCCGGCAGCTCGGCAGCAGCCGGGGAGCGGCGCGGTGGCACCGGGAGCATCTCTCCCCGCCCCGGCTCCGTCCCGGCCGGCGGGGGGGCCCCGCGGGCAGGGCTGGGGAGCGGGGGCAGCCCGGGGCGCCGCGGCGGGTCGTGCCCGCGGCCCTCGTGAACGCGGCCGGGCAGCTAAGGGCACATCCCGCCACAGCACAGGCTCACCTGGAGAAACCGGCCAGGGACGTGGGGCAGGGATGTGTGTGTGTGTTGTGTGGGCACTTCTGGTGGAGAACCTAAAAGCCTAGTATGGCTCTGCAGGAGGAGTGGATTTAGGGCAGGGACCGCGAGCTTCCATCACGCAGGGCTTGCTATGCCAGCTCCGGGGCCATTGCAAACCCGTCTTGCTCCCGTGGCTCGGATGGCGAGAGCTTTTAGAATAAGGTTTCGTTAAATCCGCTGTGGACCAGGAAGTTTAAAGGCATCCCGAGCAAAAGCGAGAGCAGCTCCGAGGCAGGGGTAGCTGGATCCGTCTGTTTGTGCGTGCCGGGGAGCGGCTGAGCGCGCAGGGAGAGAGCGGCCTTCATGGAACTTGCTGTCTTCTTAACCTCCCTGAGAGAGCAGCCGCCATCTGCGCCAAGGTACAACAATAAGAATTATTAGTATCATAATCACCACGCTTGTTATCGCTGCGACTTTGAGGGAGAAGCCCAGCCCCGGCTCCGGCTCCGGCCCGCTGGACGCCCCAGTCGCGGACTCTGCCCCGTTCCTCCTCTTATTCTCTAAATCCCCTAAAATATATATTTTTTGCCCCTAAAATATATATTTTTTGCCCCCAGTTACCAGCGCTCTGATGGGAGCAGGAGGCAGAGGAATAGGCAAGGCTCATAATAAGCCACCTGCTGCGTCGTGCCTAACTAATGTTATGCTTTATTTCATTACTGCTGCCGCGGCAGCAGCACCGGCCCGTGCGTTACAAATTCCCCACGCAGGCAGACAGCCGGGACAGGACCCCGGCACGCTGCGGGGGCCGCTGCTCGGGCAGCGACAGGCACCGATGCTCGGTTGCTGCTGTCGGAACGCGGACCCACGGGCGGTACCTCGGTGCGGGGCCCGGTCCCGCCGCTGCTGCGGGACGCGCAGCCCGCCCGGCCCGTTCAGAGCTGTCTCTCCCGGCAATGACCCCCTCTCCACCTATTTGCGTGCCCACGCGAAGCTATATCAACAGCAGTAATAGCCTCATACATTACATCAGTATTTGTTAGCACGACCATTCCGAGTAATTTCAGATATTTGGACTCGGTCTGTTCAGTGTAGCTTCAACCTATTGGCTCGCCAGACGAGATGTTCATGTGGACCCAGTTGCTAAAACCATGAAAACAGACTTTAGCTCTAAACTGTGCTACTCTCCCATCTGACGGATGTTAACACACAAATGAAATCCATTTGGATGTTTTTTGTTACCAGAAGGCTGCGCTGACGTTCAAATGATCTAAATCTTAGCATCTGGAAGCCTGTACACGCATTTTTTTTTCCTTTGGAATAGGTTTCAAGACATTTCGTTCAACCCAAGCTGAGGAAGGATCAAAAATGGGACACCAGGAAACTGACAATAGCTTCCCATCTAAATGAAACTTTGAAAGCACCAAAAAGGGAAAAAAAAACAAACCCAAAAAAACCAACAACAAGCCCCTAAGCCTTTCCATTTACTACAGTCCCTCCGGGTAACCCCAAAGCCTCCCAGCCAAGGTCCATCATGGAGCTGCTGCGAGGCACCGGGATGTCCCAAAGGCCGCCAGGGCCTGAGAGTCCCCGCGCTGGCAGAGCGCTCCGCGGAGACAGACCAGCTTCATCTCAGGAATACTTTTTGGGCTGGGGATTCATTTAGTGTTTTCTAGGCGCAGCGATTCATCGACGCTATGATAGAACATGTTGTGTGAGTGCCATTCAGCCTTAATGAAGATCTGTGGGAGAAGCCGTGCGAGACAATAAATACAGCGGTCCGGATGTCGGTGACTTTAGCAGGAAATAAAGGAGGGCTCCGTGTTAATGAAACAAAGATGTGGGAGCTCCTGGCAAGGGCCTCGAATGTACAGGAGTGCCCAGTACCTCCTGGATGCTCATGAATATCTGTGGTGTGCTTTACACTTCGCATTATGTTTGCAAACCGAATTCTTTTGTCTTTCTAAGGTTTTTACAAACTTGGATGCCAAACAGACCGATTTTCAATCAAATACAAAGAATTTAAATTATTCAGGAACCCAAGCGATTCTGTGGAGCCTTTCTTTCTCCCATCCCCCACCTCAGTGCCGAGGATTTAATCCGGTAGCAAGCGTGTCAGGGAGCTGTTCCGGCCCTGCCCCAAGGCGGTGGGATCATCTCCCGGGGCCGGAGGGCCCGAGACCCGCGGCGGAACCGGCCCGGCCCGGCCCGGCCCGGCGGCGGCTTCCCCGCCTCCCCTCGGGAGGGCTCCGGGGCCGGGCCCCCCTCTGGTGCCCAGGCATGGCCGAGCTCGCTGTGCAGAGGCGTCGGAGCATCCTCCGGAGCAGTTGAAGGGGATGGGCTTATCCCAAAGGGCGGATTTTCCCGGTACGCGGCGGGAGCGCTCCGCCACCCCGGGCATCCGCCTATGCCGGTGAGGAGCGGCAGCCGGCCGTGCTCACAGCACACACACAGCACACAGAACACACACACAGCACACAAACACACAGCACAGAGCACAGAAACATACACACAGCACACAGAACACACACAGAGCACACAAACACACAGAGCACAGAACACAGAAACATACACACAGCACACAGAACACACACAGAGCACGGAAACATACACACAGCACAGAGAACACACACACAGAGCACAGAAACATACACACAGCACACAGAACACACACAGAACACACAAACACACAGCACAGAGCACAGAAACATACACACAGCACACAGAACACACACAGAGCACACACAGACAGAGCACAGAAACACACACCGCAGCACACACAGAGCACACAGAACACATACAGAACACACACACACACACAGAGCACACAGAGCACACAGAGCACAGAGCACACAGAGCACACAGAGCACACAGAGCACAGCAGCACACACAGAGCACACAGAACACACACAACACACAGAGCACACACAACACAGCAACACACACCACAGAGCTCACAGAGCACAGAAACACATACCGCGACACACAGCACACAGAGCACAGAGCAATACACAGCAAACACCAAAACTCCACAGCACACAGCACACAACACGCAGCATGCAACACCCAGCACAGCACCACACATCACAACACACAACGCTGTCTGTCCCTGCCTCCCTCACCTCTCAACAGTCCAAGCTCCTGGGTATCAGCGATTTTTGGCCATCATGTTGTTTACAAAAGTAATCTTAGATACACCTGTGGGATTTACACATCGCATATACTCCCTTTCTTAGTTTCTTTTAAAGGGAAAAGAATTGTATTATGGGACTGTAGCCCGTTACTTCTAGCACAAACGTAAGTGAAAGGGATTCACTGATGCACTGTTGAAAATACATGTTGAAAATACATGTTTGCATACGGTTCAGTTTGTGGTTTATGACAATTAAAACACATTCACTGGGAGCCAGGATCAGGTACAGTATTCCAGGCTCAGTATTCCAGCAGTGGAAGCCACAAAGAGATGATTGGCTTCAGTTTCACAGCCACTCTCACAGAATGAAAAAAGCTAATAGTAATTTATTTAAAAAAAAAAAAAAAAAAAAGAAAAAAAAATAAAAGAGTTGAAACGTTTTTTTTTGGACTCATTTTCACACTATCTTGCTCATATGGACACTGCAGAAGAAATAAAACAAGTCCTTATTGCATTACTTGGTAATCAGTATGGAAAAGCCCAACCCTGTCTATGGTTAACAAGAATTGTTAATGATATATAAATCATTTGATCTATCGTGCCCTCCAGTCTTAAAGGATAATAATGGCAACCCCAAGCAAATGGTCCTAATTAGTGTCCAAGAAACCACTTCCTAAATGTATCCTTCCAACTCATTCCAGTTTGACTGTCCAGAACAATCTTTTGTTCTTAAATCCTCTATTTTGTATGTAACTGCAAAAATGCTCTGCATACTGGCGCTCCAAAAATAGTTCATTTCAGGGTACAGACCAGCACTGGGGGCAGGAGGAAGGACGAGATGATCCCAGTCTCTTGCTGTTGCCTGTAAATTGGTCCCAATCATTTGAAATTATATTTCCCTGAAGCCTTGCCTCCTGACAAGTCTCCTTAGAGAAGTACCAAAGGGGAATTAATCAAAAAAATCGAGTCACTGCCGCCACTCGGTCTGCAACACAAACTTTGAAAAGCCAAACCCAAAACCGGATCCAGGACCAAACTGTGCATATTCGAGCTGCCTGTCACATACTTTCACCCACTCTTTCCACCGTTTCCAAGTGAGATCTGTAGGTTAAATGCACCGTGATACAGCCATAGATACCACACCTCATGTGGTACCCAGCTGAAGGTTCAGGCACACCCTGGAGGAGGAACAGAGCTTGGCCACGCGGTTATTGTGGCCTTGGTCTTGTCTCCACTGAAAGCAGCACAGCTCTCACTGTTTGCTCCCTCAGGACGCCTCTTTGTCCGATGTACAAAATACAAACTGCCATTTCTCATTAACTGGGGTACCAAATCCTGTTGTTTCATTAATATAATCTGCTCTTCCACCGAGTCCAGCATCTTCTGCCACTTTTCTATCCCATAACTACTCTATCACAAAACACCACTCCTTAAGTTTGAAACACAGTGCTGAAAAGCTGAACTACATTGGACACATAAGGCACCTTGGTCCCT